GATGAGCGGTACGTATTCTCCACCCCCCTCGGTCTCCTTCACCGCCTCCCTCTGTCCCTCCCTCCCCAGACCCTGCTCGCTTCCCCCTCCCCCGGGGCCGCCGAGATGCTGGAAGGGGAGGAGGAGAGGGCGGGAGGGAACCAGGGGGAGGGAAGGAGGGCTGTGTTTTGTCTTAATGTCTAAGCTGGAACAACCTCCTTCTGGGTGTTGCTTTGGAGCCTATGGGTCGGGTTTCAAACCACGTTTTGTGAGAGCCCCCTCCTCCCTTCCCCTCCTTCTCCCCCACCCCCTGCCGGTGTGCACAGATCGCGGGTTTATGGAGATTAATGTTCAGAAGGAAGGAGGGGGAAGTAGGGAGGAGAACGAATAATAATAACCCTAATAACCTGTTGTCGTGTGTGTTGGGGGGGGGATTGTTGCAGATCAGAAGAAGGAGGAGGAGGAGGAGGCGGCTGCGGCGATGGCTACAGAAGGAGGGAAAACCTCTGAGCCAGAGAATAACAATAAAAAATCCAAAACCTCAGGCTCCCAGGTAAAAGCAAACGTTAAAAAAAAATTCAACAGGAAGCTTTAGGTAACATAGGGAGTTATGCCCTCTAAATACCCAGAAGTAAAGAACAGGATAAAAATGTTTAGCCACTCAAAGCATCTCTGAATGAGAAACTTAAATTGTAAATTCGTGAGTATTTCCCCCTAGTTGAGGCTTTAACGATGTTTAGAATTTCACCAGGAATTCAGACTGGTAGAAAACAGTGTCTATTTTCCCAAGGGCATTTTGAGTTCAGAAGAATAACACTTTCAGAAAGTTTACCAGAAATTTCTTTTTTTATTTAAACTTTATGTAACAGGACTTGCATTCTTATTCGTATAGCTTCTACCCGCTTTTGTTCATATTTCCCTTTTAATTCTGCTGCCTGTTGAGTATGTTCTGATACTTAGAGCTCTCAAAATAAATAACCCCCTCCCACTACTGTCTTCCACTAAATCCGCCCACTTTTTCCCCTCCCTCTCCTTTCCCCTCCCATTTTGGGTAGGACTCTCAGCCTTCTCCTCTGGCTTTACTGGCAGCTACTTGCAGCAAAATAGGGACTCCTGGTGAAAATCAAGCAACCGGACAGCAGCAGATTATTATAGACCCAAGCCAAGGACTGGTCCAACTTCAGAGCCAGCCACAGCAGCTGGAACTGGTGACAACGCAGCTTGCAGGAAACGCTTGGCAACTTGTTGCCTCCACTCCTCCCGCTTCAAAGGAAAATAACATCTCTCAACCAGCTTCTAGTTCATCTAGTTCTTCCAGCAGTAATAACGGGAGTTCCTCTCCTACAAAAACTAAATCAGGTAATTCTTCTACCCCTAATCAGTTTCAAGTCATACAAGTACAGAATCCAAGTGGTAGTGTACAGTACCAAGTGATCCCCCAACTTCAGACGGTGGAAGGTCAGCAAATTCAAATCAATCCAACTAGTAGTTCATCTCTACAGGATTTGCAGGGTCAAATTCAGCTCATTTCTGCAGGTAATAATCAAGCTATCCTCACTGCTGCTAACAGGACAGCCTCTGGTAATATTCTTGCTCAAAACCTGGCAAATCAGACAGTTCCAGTACAAATTAGACCTGGTGTTTCAATACCATTGCAGTTGCAGACCCTGCCTGGTACTCAGGCTCAAGTTGTAACAACCCTACCGATTAACATTGGAGGAGTGACTTTAGCTTTGCCCGTGATAAATAACGTGACTGCTGGAGGAGGGACTGGACAAGTTGGCCAGCCTACAACCACTACTGATAGTGGGACTTCCAATGGGAATCAATTAGCTTCTACGCCCACCACCACCACTGCTTCTGCCAGTACTATGCCTGAATCGCCCTCTTCCTCTACTACTTGCACTACCACTGCATCCACATCTCTAACCAGCAGTGACACATTAGTGAGTTCAGCAGATACGGGCCAGTACGCAAGCACATCAGCCAGTAGTTCTGAACGCACCATTGAAGAATCGCAAACACCTGCTGCTACGGAGTCTGAAGCCCAGAGCTCCAGTCAGCTTCAGCCCAATGGGATACAAACTGCCCAGGATCAGTCCAGTTCTCTTCAGCAGGTACAGATTGTAGGCCAGCCTATCCTGCAGCAAATCCAGATCCAGCAGCCTCAGCAGCAGATCATCCAAGCGATTCCGCCACAGTCATTTCAGCTGCAGTCAGGGCAGACCATTCAGACCATCCAGCAGCAGCCTTTGCAGAATGTTCAACTTCAAGCTGTCAACCCGACTCAGGTGCTTATCAGGGCTCCAACTTTAACACCTTCAGGGCAAATCAGCTGGCAAACTGTCCAGGTTCAGAATATTCAGAGTCTTTCAAATTTGCAAGTTCAGAATGCTGGGTTATCTCAGCAGCTAACCATCACCCCCGTGTCTTCAAGTGGTGGCACAACTCTTGCTCAGATCGCTCCTGTGGCTGTTGCTGGTGCCCCAATAACTCTGAATACTGCCCAGCTTGCATCAGTGCCTAACCTTCAGACAGTGAGCGTTGCCAACCTGGGTGCTGCGGGCGTTCAAGTTCAGGGAGTTCCAGTAACAATCACTAGTGTTGCAGGTAAGCCACATCTTTTCTTTTTAATCTCTTATTAGCAGGGCTTAGTGACAGAGCTATTGCTCCAGGTTCATTTTTAGATTTGCTACACCTCTGAGGTACACAGACTGGTGAGGGTCAAAGCTGGACTGTTACAGCACAACCATACATTGCTATCAGTGTGGTCTCTTTATTTCTGTAGCTTTTAGCACTCAGTTTTGTGTGTCAAATTTGTTTAATAATTTAAATTGTTTCATAAAGCATCTTTTTCTGATTAGAGCCATAATTATAGAGATCATATTTGAGTACACTTGAACTCTTCCGGTAGAGGAACTCGGCTCTTCTTGATGGAAAGTTAGCTTAACTTGAATTCGGATATGGTTGTGAGTCTTTTGAAATGCTACTTCTGTGTAAGAAGGTTTTTATCTTGGCCTTCTCTTGTCTAAGCATTTGGTTTTCGAGGCATTTTCACTGTAGTGTCTAGAGCAGTTTTAAACTAGCTACTGTTGCAGTTAGGATAGAAATTGAAGTTACAAATTGTTTCCTTAAGTTTTATATCTTCTTTTTGCTCCACTCAGGATCAGGTCAGGAGTGTGACTTTAATGGTACTTGATGTATAAAGTTAAGGAAAAGTCTTATTTAAAAGGTCCTTATTAAAAAATCTTATTTCAAAGGTCCTTATTAAACATGTTTTGAATTATTTAAAGGTGTCATGTGGTTAGTGAAAAGCGAAGCTGTAGGTTGTAAAATGTCACTGACTTGAACAAATGATGGCCATCTAGTTTTTAAAGCAGCTATAGAAACAGTTGTTATTTATTGTGCATAGAATTAGATACATCTAAAGCACTTCAAAACCTAGTTCTGGTAAGTAGTAGAACTACTTTGGGGGAGCTGTCTTAACTGTACTAAAAGTCTTATTGTACTTAGACTAAATTGATTCTGAGTTGTGAGTTGGCAGAAACTTGCTTTGATTTTAGTACCTTTGATTTTTCAAATTTTGTTAAATAAAAATTTCTGTTCAGGTATTTTAAGATTGGATATGCTTGTCCTTTTTGAATGACCTTTTGCAAAACGAGGTGCAGAAAAATTAGGATGGGTTCTTTTTCCACACAACTCAAGCCGATGAATACTTAAAAGTTATCCAGAGAGCCTGCCCACTCAGGAGAACCTAATTACATTTTTATCTCCTACCTCTACAACACTGCCCAGCAGAACTTTGTGTGATGTTTGCATGCTGTGTCTGTCCTCTCCAGAGTTGTCCACTAGTTCTGCACAGTGACTGGGCGTGTAATACATGGTAAAAGTAGATTAACTGAGGAACTGAAGTCTAAGTTTTATTCAAGTAACCACATTTAGCTAGTGGCTCTTATCGCGAATATTGTGTGTATATTGTCAGTGTTTTCAGTGTGATTGTTCACCTAAAATTTTAGTACCCAAGTATGTAAGTGATGGTTCTGTTTCCAGTCCTTACTCTGTGTAGTTCCTACTCATTCTAAAAACTAACTGGAGTGCTTCAGAACAGTGCCTGGGTTTGGTGTTTTGAATAATAGTTTGCATTGTCAAAGCAGAAATTATTTTATTTACATTTCATCTTGCCTGTTAAACATTAGTGAATTGTGGTTCATAGCACTGAGTAATTTATCAAATGGGTTAGAGAAATGGCCAGTTCTTTTGCTCTCTAATTAACATTTTGCAATCCAGAAATTCTCTCTTACTAAATTGAAGGTAATCCAGTATTCTGACCCCCAACTCCTGGAATGGTGAATTATAAACCATGGAAGATAAAGCTTTTAGGGGTAAAATTTGGGGGGCAGAGGTAGAATCAACAGTGAGTCAGAAGGCAGAACTGGGAGCAGGTGGTGCTAAGCCAGTTAATACGTGCCCAAGTGTGTTTGGTTGACAGATAGCCATTTTAGTCACACTACACACAATACCCCAACGAACATTCCTACTAGATATAGTTATTCCTATATTTTTTACTTAGAGTTTGCATAGTTTAGGAGATCTGCTTAAGTGAAGTCCACACACGAAGACTTTCCTCTCTGCTGAAACTCAACAATTTAAAGTTTTGTTGACACTGTAAGGAGATGATTGTAGTATAAAGAGTAGAAGTAGACTGATTTCCACACGAATTTAGGTTTAGCTGTTGGCAGTTTTATTCTGTTAGCTAGCAAACTGGACAGTATTCTTTGAGGGTTCAGAACATGGGAACAATGTTCCAGAGTGGTAACAGTGAATCTAATGAAATTGCTTTGTTTTCATTAATTTCTTTTGTTTTTATTTTTAAAATACACTAGAAGCAGAACACTAAGCGCTTTATGAGAAGAGGGAGAACACATGCCTACATCCCTTTTATAAATGAGCCCTAGTTTAGAGTTAATACTTTCGGTTGCCATTTTCTGTTATTTCAAACCTTTTCCTTTCCAGAATTGTGGTGTTGAATTTATGGAAAAATATTTGCTGTTAATAGTCACAGGTTTATTAAATTAAAATGTTATTTTACTTTTAATTGATACATAATTCATGTACATAGTTGTGGGGTCTAATGTGATATTTCAGTACTCTACACTATGTATTGATTAGGTCAGGGTGCTTATGTCATCACCTCAGACGTTTGTCATTTCTTTGTCTTGGGAACATTCAAAATTCTGTTTGTTACTCAATTACTCTCAGGAACTGCTCACCTACTGTGCTTCCGTTGGGTATTAGATGATACTCTTTCTAAGTGACTACCCACTTTCCTTCTCCCCAGCCTTGCCCGCAGCCTGCTAACTTTCCTCTTTTAGTCAGGATTCCACACAGTTCAGGGTTGCCTTCAAACTCTCTACGTAGCTAAAGCAGGCTGTGAGTGATCCCTCCTCATTCTACCTTCCCAGTGCTGGGACTGCAGATGTGCACCGCCATGCCTGAGGTACCCATGGATCCATGGGATCACGTGTGCTAGCACTCCACCAGCTGAGCTATGTGCCTGGGCCCTCTGCTTATAAGTAAGAAAATGCTCTTGACAAATCTCAGAGCTTGGAAGAATTAATTACCTTTGACAGAATAATGGCTAGCTCGTGAGCAAGACTGAACATTTCTTATGGTTCAGGCTCCTTTTTCCTTCTCAGGAAGTGGAGGAGATCTGGTATGGACAGAAGAGAAAGAATCAGACAAGGCAAATTGAATGAACCCAGATTTTGAAGTTAAAGAACTTCACAATTTTTTGAAATGACAAGCTTTTTCCTTGGCATATTGTTCAGAAAAAGTACTTTCTTTGCTCTTGTCTGAAAATTCTGATTTCTAAGCTAAGCATCCAGCATTTAATGAGTTAAGAGTGTAGTTATAATTAAAGACTTATATACATAAGTATATACCCGATACATTCTTTATTTTCTTGTTGGGAAGAATTTGATGGATAACAACTGAGTTTATGAACCTTTATTTGAACCATGTTTGGTGGTTTGTACCTTTAATCCCAGTAGGGGTGGCAGAGTCAGGCAGAGCTTTTGTGATATGTTTTAGTTAAGTAAAAATAGAAGTCTTGCTAATATTCTCACAATGCTTTCTAGTCTTTTTGTTTTGTTTTTTCTTTTGTTATAAATGAGAGCTAATGGGTACCATTGGTTTCTGCTTCAGCAATTAATCTAAGTGGTCCACACTGTAGTGCTATAAGCCTTTTGCTTGATTAAGTGATGATTTGTCAATTTCAGTAGAAACTAAATTTTTATGCTGGTTTTCCCATAAAGGAGGTTGAGACTTGATAAGATGTTGCTGACAATCCAAGAACTTGTCTCTTACGTAATTCCTTTGCTTTATAGGGAATTAAGGTTTCAAATCTGGGGATATAATATAAAGCCAGGAATGGAAAGGCCAGTTCTTAATGACTGTTTAAAAATGGGAACCAAAGAACATAAAGCTTACATTTAATTTAAGAGTCCAAATTTAACTTAGTCGAATTAACTTTTTAACATTTACGTTTTCTTCTGCGTTATTCAAAGTAGAAAAGTGGCTTAAGGTTTAATACAGATAACAGATAGTATTTTTCGTTTTTTTCCTTTTTGGGCTTCTTAAAACCATACCTGTATATATCATCCTCGTACTTACGCTTCGTCGTTTCCTTTTCAGTCAGTTATTCTGTTACTTTTTCACTAAAACCTTCCAATACTGTGTAAATACCTTCAACTTCATCATAAGGGACGGAAGTTCAGGTTCAGAACTACCAGTTTGATCTTTAGCCTCCAGAAGTTTTTTTTTCCATAGAAGATAAAAAATACTCCATGTAAAGCCATGTTAGTTAAAAAGGACATCTGTGCTGGCTTGCTTCATGTCATCTTGACGCAAGGTAGAGACATTTGAGAGGAGGGAACTTCAGTTGAGAAAATGACCCCATAGGATTGGGCTGCAGGCAGGCCTGTAGGGTATTATGTAGTTGGTGATTGGTGTGGGGAGCTCAGCTCATTGTGGGTGCACCCCCTCTCCCACTGCTCTGGCTGCTAGTCCTGGGTTCTGTAAGAACACAAGCTGAGCAAGCCATGAAGAGCAAAGCCAGCAAGCAGCACTACTCTAGGGCCTCTGCATCAGCCCCTGCCTTCAAAGTTCCTTCCCTGCTTGAGTTCCTGCCTTGACTTTTCTCAAAGGACTGTAACTCAAGATATGTAAGTCAAATAAACCCTTTCCTCTCCAAGTTGTTTTCATCACAGCAGTAGTAACCCTGACTAAGACAACAGCTCTTGTGAGGCCTTGACAGGCAGAGGAGCTAAGAACACTTCTCATCTCCTTTTCAAATTATTTTTTTGTTTTTTAAATGACAAGGCCTCCCTGTATAACTCAGGCTGACCTCATACTCACATTAAGCCCAGGTGGTCTTGAGTTTGTGATCCATCTCTCAGGAGTGCTGAGAGTCAAGTGTTTCTGGCTATTTTCCAGTCTCTAATTTAGAGAGTATGAAGAAATATGTAAGGAATATTGGAACACACATTAAGACAGATTGAAGAGAAATGGAAAAGGAAGCTTGATCAAGAAGGAAGCTAAGGGAGATGCCATGGGTAAATCTTGCAGAAATAACACTTACCAGGTGATAGCTTCGTAGTTGGAAAAGATCTTTGAGATTATAGCTTACAGTTGTGACCTTTTCATATTGCTGTGAAAGTTTATTTTTAAAGGTATTTTATTTTACTATTTTAAGTGAATATAGAAATGTGGGTCAGGTTCTCCAATGTTCCATTAAGTACTTTGGGGATGACTCATTAAAGTTGACAATAAAGATTGAGGGGGGAACCAGATCTTGGACCATACATGCGTGCTTTTCTGCTCTGGAATGTACAAAGTGTGTGCCATTTTTACTGCTGAGTGAATGAGCAAGTTGTTTCAAAGGAACTGGTACTTGGTGAGCTTAACAAAATTGGCATTGCTAAGGTAACTTAGAATATACTCAGACCTTGCTCTCCCACCCTCGTTCCTAGCCCCCTTTGTAGAAGAAGCTACAAGTTCAGAAGGGTTGAGTAACACAGGTTTCACAGTAGAGTGTGCCGTCCTGACTCCTTTGTTTTCCCACTATATTTCTAGCTTATACAAGTCTTTTATTAGCACATGAGAAAATAAGACTGAAGTTAGGACTTAGAGAACTAGAATTCTCTTGTTTGTCTTCTCACGGATAGACTATCCCTATGTCACCTGGCATATTAAATAAAACATTGCTGAAGGATACAGCTCTCCGGGTCTGTTACTGAACTTAATGTAGGAACTAGATAGTGTTATTTTTCACTTCTTGGAAGTCTAAGAGGACATGGGTCTCATGTTGATACTCTCAGAACTCTAGATGAGGCTCAGGCAGGAGGTTTGTCATGAGTTTGAGATATACCTAGCTTACATAGTTAATTTCAGCCCACCTTGGACTACATAGAGACCCTATCTCAAAAAAATAAGAAATAAAAGAGTTTGTATCTAATACTATTAGTAAGTTCTATGTATGATCCTCAGGTGAAAGACTTATATCTTTTCTGAAACAATAACTAGAAATGGATTTTTAAAAAAATATTTATTTATTTATTACATATACAGTGTTCAGCCTGCATGAATTTCACATACCAGAAGAGGGCAACAGATCTTGCTGGGAATTGAACTCAGGACCTCTGGAAGACCCAGTGCTCTTAATCTCTGAGCCATCTCTCCAGTCCACTAGAAATGGTTTTTAAAAATGACAAAAGGACGTTGCTGTGTAACCCTGACTGGCCTTGAACTCATTAGAAAGCTCAGGCTGACCTCACCCTTCTCCCACTGCCTCCCTGGTCTAGTATTCCATTTATGTGTCCATCATATATGAACATTTTTTAAAAAGTAGTACTTGTGGAGGAAAAAGCAAACATTTACTCTAGCTAATATGTGTTCTGTGCTGAGTTTGTATTCATAATATTTAAGCACATAATATTATTTTGTGGGTAGGTAGTGTATCCCTCCTGTCTGCCTCACTGAGCTTTAGTTGTTTGGGAACAAATACATAAGTGATAAGAGACTGCAAGGATAAGACCACTGAGGAAGCCTGTCTTTAAATAGTCCATGTTTCTCTTGCTGAGATGTAGAGCCTTACCAGTTGTTGAAGGTATTTTTAAAACCTGGTATTAGTATGAGTTTCTGCTTTGCTAATATTCTTAAAGAAAGGGTCGTGCTGCTTTGTTTTCATTCTTCATCCTGTGCACTTGTCTCACACAGCGGTCTCAAGTGGCCACCCCAGTTTACAGTTTGGGCTTACTATGGAGGTTTCAAACATCCACGTGGAGTTAATGTCAGTGGTGTCTTTGCTTTATTTTATGAGTTTGGAGATAGCATCATCCAACCCAGACTGTCCTGAAACTGGCTGTGTAGTGGAAGGTGGTACTGAACTTTTTAAAATTACATTTAAAAGTTCCATTTATGAAACGGGAGCATAGCATATGTGGAGAAAGAGGATAGTTTGTGGGAGTCACTTCTCTCCTCCTGTCATATGGTTCGTAGGAATAGAACTCAGGTCTTTGGGCTTGGTGGCATCACCTATACTTGCTTAGCCATTGCCAGACCCAGCCTTAAACTCTTGATCCTCCTGCCTCTCATCTCAAGTGCTAGGAATGCAGGCGTGCTCCACCATACAAAGAATTATACTATATCTTAATTTCAATATGGTCGTAACTTCTCAAAGACTCATAGATGGGTACACGATTGGATGAAAAATTCTTTGGTTGTCAACCATATTGCAGTGTCTACTGTCTTGCTATTAGATTCTATCCTTGATACGGTATAACTCTCCCCCCCCCCAACCCCCATTGCTTTCTAAGTACAGGGCTGAAGGAATGGCCCTATTTACTGAATTAACAAATGAGAAAAGGCTGAAAGATAGTGCCATATGATAGGATATAGAATTGAGAGTCAGAGCACATAATAGGCTGGAAGCATCAGTGGGGAGATAAGTAAAGCAGATAATATACTCCACTTAAAGTCGGGGAATCATGTACCTACAGGATGCAAAGCCCACCTTTAGCAACAGGACTAGTTACTGGCTTGTCGTGGGTTGAGTTACAGCTTTGTCTATAGACTGCTGCTGCACTGCTGTGTATTGAGATGGTAATAAGCCGATGATCATAGCAAGGATTCCTGGGATTGTCAGAGTGAGGGTTTTCACTGTTAAATAGACACAAGTGAAGGCATGCTACTGTCTTGAGTTCCTAAGGTGGAAGTGGTTCTGTTAGAGTTGAGCGTGGGAAACAGAATATGCTGTGTCCCACATTTCAGAGAAGAGCTGTACCAATAGAATGATTGGTTTCATTAGGTAATTATTTTTTGTCGTCAGAGATTGTAGATTATGGAAGAACTGCTCACGCTATACAGAAAGTTTGATTGGATCTAATTCTAAAACCTAAGAACATGGATATTTGGATGTCTGGTCCTATATTGACTGGAGCACACAGAAACTCTTAAACTTATGGTCCTTATAGCTAATGATCGGGAAGTTAGGGTGGCATTACCTTTGTTATGGTAGAAGTGGTGTAATGCCAGTTCTAGACCAGTTCACAAGTGTGTTTCCGCTCTCCATTACTTTTAGAATTCCTATGTGTTAGTTTTCTGTTAGTTGGTCTTTGGTTTGATGAATGAGAAGGCATTAGTATCTTTACACATCTAGTATAGTGTCCAACATTGAACTTGTAGTTCAGTATGAATAATGTGGTTACTCTCTTATAACTGAATCAGGAAAACAGTTGGAAAACCCAGGGTACTAGTTGAGCCTTCACTCCATGAAGCAGTTACAGCATTGTTTGTTTATTTAACTCCTGGACTACACAGATTCAGAATGTGTGGCTTTCTTGCTTTCTTTCTTTCTCTCCTATTTTTTTGTTTTTTTATGAGCTCAATGTATCTACTAGGAAAGTTTTTTGTTTCTTTGTTTGTTTTAAACTTTCAGACCAAAGGACATTTTGAGTAAGGAAAAAAAGTGATAAGTCAAATATATGAAGGTTTTTTTTTTTTTTTAACCTTAGGCATAGTAATACATTTAGGAAGGTAGGAAGTACTCTGTTCTCGTTGATCAGAGAAGTGCGTTCTTGTAGTGGCTTTATTGTTGGTTCCTGCAGACACAGATAACAAGACTAAGAGTTAAAACTTAGACTTTGTTTGGATACTGCCCTTCATTAATGGTTCTATTAGCTGTTACTGGGCAAACTTGCTGAATAGTGATAGACGCCCATTCCTTTACGTCATAGTGTTACATCGATGAGGCCAGATAATGTGTTTAGAAAGGGCTTTTGTAGATTATAATCAAAACTATCTGTTTGAGGTTACGGCAAGCACTCCACGGAGTACCATTCCCTAGAAGACTGGAAAGTAGTCAAGGGGAAACTCTGCTGTAGGTGTCAGTGCTTGGATTTCAATGAGATAGAGTTTAAGTGAAATTTGTAAAACAGATCAGAAAGCTTTGGTCAAAATACAACCAAGGATGCAGGGTTAGGTATGTCTACAAATACAGGAGAAGCCATGTGTTTCCCTGTAGTTAAGAAGTAAATGTCTGCTCTGCTTCAGCTGTTGTTAGATCCTGGAAGTATTCACTTTTCTGGAAAGGATGCTTGGGTCAGGGACATGATACGCTTGAATGCATTTGCACCTGCTTGCCGGCTTATACTTTTACATACTGGGTTTGGAAGTAGAGAACATATAGGAGAGCTCAGAAACAGGCGAGACTGGGGAAGTGATGTATGTTGACAAACGTAGATACTTACAGAACAAGAAAGCAAAGCTGTAAAGAGATTAAGCCTCATGGCTGAGGCTCTACATGGACTGTTGGAGGTGAGCGGCACCATGTCATACGTGTCTCAGACTGTGATAGTAGAATCTACCCAGTGAGATAATGAATTCCTGGGTCTTCAGCAGAGTACTCTTTTTGGCCCCCTTTGTGAACGGAGTACATGTACCACACAGGGAAGTAAACTAGAAAACACATTTTATGACTTTGAATCCTGCTTTGGTTGGGAATTTTAGGCTAGTAGTAATATATTCTTGGCTACACACACATGCACACACTAACCTTGAGTAAATTTTAAAAATCATTCTACAAACCTTTTAAGAATATAAGTGAGAGTTTTATATTTCATTTTCATTAATAGTTACACAATACTACAAAGAATATGTTTTACATTTCATGACTCCCTTTATTAGAAAATGACATGTCATGTTTTTAAAAGATGAACACTTTCATTCTGTGGAGGAAATAACACTAAGGAATAACTGTAAGAAAACCCAGTGACTATAAGAATTATATACATAGAATTCATAGTCTTTAACCTGTGTGTTCTCTTCTGTGACATGAGCTCAGTTAGCAGGGATGCTGTTCTTGCTTCTCACAGTAAACAAGGTGCATGCAGTGTCTGCCACTGTGTGTGACACCGCGGCTGGCGCAGGAGGAGCAGAGGTCAGCCCTCACGGGCTGTATTTTGTTCTGCTTAGGTTTTGTTTTCTCATTCTTCGGTTCTTTGTAGGAGCTTTTGTTCTCTTCTGCTTTGCAGTGCTGGGAACCAAATGCATAATCCCAAACTTAGTGGACAAGCACTCTGCTGACATCCATCCCAAGCCCAGGTTTTATTTTGTATGGGTGTGTGTGTGTGTGTGTGTGTGTGTGTGTGTGTGTGTGAATGGAGATTGAGTTAGGGCCTTATCTGGTATATGCTCGGCCACTGACCTAATAATACCCAAATTCTAGTGTTTTTAATAAATGACAAAATCAAGGCCAAGAAAGTTAAAATAATTTTCTGGTTGTTACAGAATTAGTGAGTGAAGATATGGAAAAAGAACCCAAATTCTATCTAAGTTTTAAAGCTTTTCTTGTGTGTTTTTCTTAAGAAATCTTTGACACCACTGGAATTGTAGTTACCATGAGAAAGTTTAGAACTTTCTTCAGTCTTTTGATTATAAATTACCAGTGATAATCAATGAATTTACATTTTAAATAGATTGATACATCTAAACATACATACATATGTAGGTAGAGGGTGTGTGTGTACGTTTATTGTACATGTTTTATTTTGTATATTTTGACTTTGTATATACTCCTCTATACATTTATAGTCATATACTTTGGCTCATTAAAAACATTGATGAAAAATTTAAGGAGATTGTATTGTATGTGTATTTAAACCTTATTTTATAATTAAAAATACCAACTCAGTTCGGGATATTAATTAAAAATCAACTCACCACTTCACATTCCTGCCCTGCCCTTAAAATTACAAAGAAAACCCTGAAACCCAAGTACTCAGATGGCTTTCAGTGATGTTTAAATGATTCCGTGGCAACTGTCTGAAGTGGCAGTGATAACTAAGTCACAGACTGAAAGTCACACATTTCCTTCACAGTCAGTTTGGGATGAGCAGTGGTAACTGATGTGTGTGGGGGAGGGTCCTGCCATGAAACAGTTGTGTACTGGTGGGAATGGGGTCCTGATGGCAATGCTGTCCCTCCTGCTCCTGGTCCTCCTCTTCTTTTGTTTATTACTCATTTGAGAGAGGGTTCCCTATAGCCCAGTCTGGCTTCAGACTCCTGATCTTCCTCTTTCAAGTACTGAGGTGGGATTATAAGTGTAAGCCACCACCCATGTGGCTCTTTGGTTTGGTTTGACTTTGGTAGAAGGTTCCTTTGTCTAAGCTAATACCATATATGATTTGTAATCTTAAATAGCAGAGACGTTTCACTTAGTGTTAAAATACTGTAATTTAAAGGTACAATGTGTATCAGGTTGAACTTCACTTTCTTTTATGAGGTCAGGAGGAAAACCATTGCTAGTTTGAAGTTTAACTGTGAATGAGGTCTATCAATATTTCAAGAAATTTTAAGATTTTGTTTTTGTTTTTCTTTTGGCAAACCTAATGTGTTTTGCTATTCTCCCTTAAAGAGAGAATAGTTAGGCTTGAGTCATTATTGCAGACTCAGAATGTTTTAGGAGATGATTCATTTGCTGGCATCCTTGTAAATATGTACATACCCAGCCTGAGGAATAGCAAATAACGAGGTGAGGTCCCCAAACCCTTGGCCTTTAGCCCTTACCTGAAACCCTCTAATGCCCATGGTATCAGATACATCAAGATGATTGTTCAAAGACAGCCAACATTTTTGTTTTGATTTCCTTAGTTTTGGGCGCAGTTTCAATACTTATCTTTGAATGTGCTGTATAGCCAAGAGTCGTTTTGAATTTGTAATTCGCTACCACAGCCTCTGTAGTGCTGGGGTTACAGGAGTATGTGATCTCACGAGGCTCTAGCTGTGTTTTCAGACCAGGGACTGTGCTTGCTTAGAGCTGAGCTCTCTAGTTTGCAAGCAACAAGTCCCTGTGTCAGTACTACGGTCACAGTGACCTTTAGAGAGGTCACTTGTCCAGTATTGCTTTGTAGCCTTTGTGGAAGCTGGTCCCAGTCTTGAAGGAGTTTAAGGTGTTTCTTGCTGCCTCTTGACCTTGCAGCTTTATCCTGAGTTCCTCATGACTAGGTATACTAAGGAACTTGCCACATTGTTGTAAAATGTAGAAAGTTAGAGGCACACATCTTAGGTAGATCTTAGTTCTCACTTTAAAAGAAGTAAGCGTTTTGCTTCCTCTTCTAGCAGGTAAAGACTGTCACAGCTGGTTTATAGCCTAAATGTTCTCCTCAGAGCAGGGTACTGTTTTGATTTGCTAGAATTTTGTGATTTTCTGGTAGAAGCAGGAGCAAGGAGAGTTACTGTGGCCTTACAACTGCTCACACAAATGCAGTGTAATCCTGGACTGTTAACTGAACCTTGGCAAGACAGTGAAATCCTGGATTACATTAAAGCCTGAATAAAATGGCTTCCTGTGAAGCTACTTTCCAGAAATGAAGTAGTGATAACATAATGGAGTTTTTAGTTATAATTTTTGCTTGTTTTTAATTGACAGATAAAGTAGCTTGTATTAGTCATGTATGACATGAAGTTTTGAAGCATTTGTATATTGTGCTGTGGTTAAATATATTATAGTTAATTAGATACTACATTATTACCTCATATAATTATTTTAGTGGTGAGAATGCTTAATACCCACTCTGTGAAGCAGTTTTAAGTACTTTATTTGCTTGAATTTCATTTTGTAGGTTAATACAAATTTATAGAAACATATTTTAAAACTATGTAATTAACAATGATTGCTGAGAAATAAAAGCTATTTTATAAATATACATCAAAGATTATGTTGAGGTCTAGCACACTGCTGTTATAGAAACTTAAGGAAAAAACTGTTAGTATCCCACTTACATATACTCCTAGCAAAGGATTTGTGTTTTATTAGTTATTAAGGGTCTCATGTTTTTTCATTAGGTTAATCACATCTATTACAGTAAGATCAATGAGCAATTAATCTTTACTGATCGGGAATGACTATCTTTATTTTTATGTAGTTCGTAGATTCAGGTTAAGCTGAAGGGATGTTTTGCTGTTGGTCCCCTGTTCTGCCAGTTACTGTCTGGCATGTGGTGGGGTCTGCTGAGCTCCTTGACTCTCCTTATAAACAGCTGTGGATGAAGATTATGTCTACTTAGCAGACAATTTTTCTCCAGGAGTTAATGAGCGCTATATGTGAAAATATTTTTTGTAAATGCCAGAGCATTAAATAGATGTCTTGATACTATTATGTTTGCCTTTCCTCTTCTGAATTAATGTGTGTCTTTAGTATTTTTCCATCTTATTTCCTGTTAGATGGTGACATAAATTCATAACCGGAGTGATAATATATAGCGAGCATTAAAAATATATTTTTGTTACTTACCTTAAGTAGTGGTATTTCACTTGGATTTTAATAAATAAAACTTTATTATTATTTATTAGGATCAGAAAAGTAAAGCAGCCGTGCTGGCCAGCCTTATAGACCATGCAGCAATAACGCACACCTTTAATTCCAGTACCCACACTAGTTGCCATAGACATCGGGCAGTGCAGGCCTTTAATCCCAGCCCTAGAGAGAAATATAAGACGGGAGGAGACAGCTCTCAGGCTCAGTCTTATTCTGAGATTCCTGGATACAGGATCACCATTTCAGACTGAGATAGAGGTTAGAACCAGTGGCTGACTGTTTTGCTTTTCAGATCTTCAGGTTGACCCCCAGTTTCTCTCTCTGAGTTTTTATTAATCGTGATTCACTTAAGTAGGTGTGTTAAGCATATCTTTGTGTTTTCTGATGCTTTACTCTCTGGGACCCTGCTGGCCCTAGAGTGGCCGTCTCTCCTATAGTTAGCCAAGTTTGTAGAGATGGTAGTTATCCTGCCAGTGTGATTTCCAGTACAAATCCATCTGTACCCTGATTACTCCCCCTGCTTACGAATTTACACATGTGTGGGTATGTGGAGGCTAGAGCTTTCACCTCAGAAGTTAGTTTTCAAGAGCCTTCACACTTTTAAAAGGTTTATTCATCTTTATTTTATATATTTGAATGTTTTGTTTGTATGTATGCATAGGTATAGTGTGTTTCTGCTGCCTGCAGAGTCTGAAAGAGGAAGCTGGGATTCCTTGTAACTAGAGTCACAATGGTTTGAGTTGTGTGTGAGTGCTGGGTACTGAACCCAGGTCCCTCTGCACGACAGCAAGTGTTCTTAACAACTGAACCAACTCTGCAACTCCAGGATATTTCATTTTGTGTGTGTGTGTGTGTGTGTGTGTGTGTGTCTATGTGATGAATGTTTGCAGATATGTGTAGATGCCAGAGGAGATAGTGGGTGTCCTGCTTGTATCCCTCTGCCTTATTCCACTGAGATAGGATCTCACTAAAGCCAGGCCTGTGCTGCTAGCCAGCAAACCCCAGTGTTCCTACCCTTTTCCCACAACATACACACACTGCTGGGGTTCTAGGTACTCCTGACCACACCTGCTTTTTCGTGGGTGCTAGGATTCAAGCTCACATTCTTGTACTTGCATAACAAGCACTTTTACCCACTGAATGATCTGCAGCCCCCTCTACCTTGTTTGTTGAATTCAGATCTCAGAATGATACTTTGCTATCTGGAGCCTCACTGGCCCTGGTAGGGCTGCCCCTCCAGCAATTTAGTCAGACATTTGGGGCTCACTGATCCACATAGGCTGGGCAGCCAGCGAACTCTAGAATTCTCTTACTCTGTCTCCCCTGTGTTGGGATTGCAAGCAGGTGCTACTGTCTCACAACATTTACATGTCCAGGTGCTGGGGTGGAACTTGGGTTCTCATGCAAGGGCTTCATCATCTGAGCTGTCTTTTTTACAGTGTTCTAAACCAGATGGCTAGGAAGGAGCAGCATCTATGGTCAAGAGCCCTTTAAATTAGTCAAGCAAGCAGATTCTAATTCCTCTACCCTGTCCTACAAGCTCCTTCCTGCAGATACCATACTAAAGCTCTTTCCCACAATTTGTCCCCTTCTACTTCCTGGTGTTCACCCATTGCTGCCCGCTGTGTATCCTTTCAAATCCATGGCAGGGTTTCTGCTCCTTCTCCTGTAAACTGTAAGTAACAAACTCTTCGGTGGCTGTTTTCTGTCAACAAGATTATTTTGAATCATTATAATATTGTTTTGTTTTTAAAGCTATTCTTAGTCAAAACATTTTATAACTAAGAAATAGTATTAAGAAGAGTTAAGGGATTTTTTTTTGAAGGCATCTAAATTGAATCAGGTTGCTGAGGGGTGTGTGTGTGTGTAAGCCAATATGTACATGCATGCAGCCTTGACATTCTGCCAAAGTGCATGATGCCAACCAACCTCAGACTGAACACCATGACTACAGGAGGGTATGGAGGACAAAGTCTTTTACCTCATGGCAGACAAGTACAGAAAGTGGGAACTGAGAACCAGTACTACCTGCATTGTGTTACCATCTCCCAACAATCGCCAGAACCCAGAATAGTGCCACCAGCAGGGGAACAAATAAACAGACGTGTAAGGTACATTTCAGACTCAAACTCCAGCGTGTTACCTGTGTTTCAGCTGTCTTTGTTTAATAAGAACTACAAAAACTAAAGCCCGTATTAGGTGTGTTTTATCCAAATCAAATCTTTAGTTGTTGACAATGTCAAGACAATGCAGCTTTTAGTCCTTCAGGCTCAAAGGCACATTCAAGTATTAGAAGCTTTTCTTTAGGAAAAAAAATAATTATAGGCAAATTGTGCCAGCTTCTCTCCTTCTTAGGGAAATAGTGTCTGGGGATAGCGATTTGGCTGTCAAATGTTAACTCAATATATAGAATAGTTTCTCCGTCTAGAAAAGCTAAACTTCAATTTTAATATGCTTATTTAAATTTTATTTCATATATTCTATTTAACGACAGACCCCAGTATGTCCCTTAGCTACCTGCTATAATAACCTGATTTTTAAATGTTTTTATTGTTTTATTTTGTTTTCAGCAGTAGATTTGCAAACATAGAAACTTGTAATAGCCATTAAGCCAGTAAACATTGTTCTGCATTTTTACTCTGTAAAATTGTTTGTTTGAGAGAGACAGAGTGGGGGAACGGCATGGTGTGCATGTGAAGGTCAGAGGACAGTGTGGCAGAGTTGTTACTTACCTTCTGCTTTGTTGAGACGCTGTCTCTGGTTGTTCGCCTCTTGCAGGCATGTTCCGGATTAGCTGACCTGCAATACAAGCTTCTAGGACATGTCTCCTGTTTTTGCCTCCTGTATTGCCTTCGGAATGCTGGATTTCCTGATGCATACCTCTACACCTTGCTTTTTACGTGGGTTCTGGGGACTGAACTCGGGTTATCAGACTTGCTCAGATAGCAGATTTTACTTGCTGAGTCATCTCCACAGCCCTGTGTGCATTTTTTGATAAATTGTGCCAAGCAATTGTATTATGAATAGAGATATTAGGAGGGAAAGTTGTTGATGGGGGAGGTCAGTGGATTATAATAAAAGATAAGTCTATGGGAAGATGACTCAGTTGGTAAAGTACTTGTCAAGCAAACATGAGAACGAAGTTCAGATCTCTGTCACCCATGTAAAAAGTTGGGCATGGTCGTTCTTCTGTAACTCTAGCACTGGGGAATGAAGATAGTCAAAGCCTAAGAGCTGGCTGTCCAGACAGTCTTGCCAAATAGTGAAAAAGTTAAGCTGGAGAGTTGTTGAGAACACATCTGACATACATGGACCTGTTCACTGCACACTCAAGCATGAACACATTCAGTACATATCCCAAAATGACTACGGAATGCTGTGTAATTGGTGTTTTTTCTTCTTTGCTCTGGGAGGGGACACCCATAATATTAAAAGATAAATGCAAGAGTGGAGGGGGGGTTTTATGTATTTTATATTGCTGGATCTTTATATAAATTGGGATCCATGGTTGGTTTTCCACATCTTAAGAAATGAAGATAATGAAGCCTGAGAAGTGGTTTCCATGTTGACATTTAAGATTGTTCATATCCATGAAAAACTGAAAAATTGTCATTATGTTGAAAGTGGGACTAGGTTAAACTGATGTGTTCTTTATTGATGCTTAAATGGGTTATAAGTTAGGAAGGAAAGGTGTTAAATCTTTGCCAGTGAAATCTTGGTTATACTATATCTCAGCATGTTCTTCTAGAATTTCATATTGCCTTCTCAGATACCTGGCATTTCCTTAATGAGAGAAACTTCTCTGTTTCTCTGAATGAAAGTAATTTTTAACAAAACATTAAGTAAACATTTGAGAAAACCATGTGTGTTTAGCACTGGTCTGATGAACTGGAAAACTATAGTGGAGCCAGGCTGCTTCTACCTCATTGACTTTCTTTTTCCTTAATTGTATTAAATAAAGTGCTCCTTATTGAGTTTTTTGCTCAGTGAGTTTTGTTGTTGTTGTTTTTACAATTTTAATAGCACAACCTTGAATGATGAACTAATGACACAGAATAATCTGAGTATGTTTGTTTGTTCGTGGAAACTCAGTTTATTTGTTTGTTTGTTTTAATCTTCTACTCCATTTGTCTGTCTCCAGCTCTCACACTTGGTCTCCATAATACCAGAGACACTTACTGAAGCAAACTCAGTGAGTAAAATGCTTACATGTGCTGAAGGCTTCAGTTGCGTCCCCAGAATCCATGTTAAGGCCAGGAGTAAAGACATGCAGTTGTAATCCCAGCATGGGGGCGTGTTGTTGGTACTTTCCACACCAGGACAGGAGGATTCCTGGGGCTTGATGGCCAGCCAGTCTAGCTTTCGTGGTGAGCTCCAGGCAGATGAAAGAACTGGACTCCAAAAATTAGAGGGCTCCTGAGGATCAACGCCTGAGGTTGGCCTCTTGCCTGCACATGTACACAGATGAATATGCACACAGGTATAACGTAATATAAGTATTACGTTAATAATGCATGTCTGCTTTATATTGAATATGGGTTTTGTAACTGTCAATAAAAGTTACATTAAATGAGTGCATTTTTCTTGTGTTTTCATATTGCACTTTCTTTTCCAACTCCAGCAGTATATATATTCACTTGGACTGCCATAGAAAATGGTTTTAAAATCCTTCATTTAAAACTATAAAAATTTGTATATAATACCAATCTTATAACATTCTTCAAAAGAACTTAATAATTTCAGATTTCTGTATCTCTTCTTATTTTTTTTAAACATTTATTATGTATACAGTGTTCTGCCTGCATACCAGAAGAGGGCACCAGATCTCATTATAGATGTGTGTAAGCCACCATGTGGTTGCTGGGAATTGAACTCAGAACCTTAGGAAGAGCAGTCAGTGCTCTTAACCTCTGAGCCATTTCTCCAGCCCTCTCTTTTATTTTAGATACATGTAGCATTTAATACAATATAAATACAGTGCTGGTGAAATAATAAAGTTCTATACATCAAATGAGATGTAATCCCAACCTCTTCCCTCCCCATCCTCCCGCCTCTTGTTTGCCCTTTATATCATGTGCTGCTGCCTTTTGCCTCCCTAGTCTCTATTCTGTCTTATTGCATGGTTCTCTTTCTAACTTTCTGGCTTCTCCTCACACTAATTCCACTTAAACATATATTTAATCTTTAGAAATAGGGTTCACAAGGAGAGAACATGAGATGTTTGTCAAGACTGAGCTACCTCACTAGATCATATTCCTGTTCCCACTATTTCCATGTAAATATGAATTCATTTTTTCTTTATAGCTGAATAAAATTCCAGTGCGTGTATGTACTTTATTTTCATTATCCATTCATCTTTTGGTAAGCCAAGCTTCAATAAACATGGATGTACAAATATCTCTGTAGTATGTCAGACTTCTTTGGGTATATACCTAGGCGTATTATAGCAGAGTTGTGTGGTATATCTACTTTTGGGTTTTGGAGAGAGTCTTCATTTGATTTTCTTAATGGTTATAAAATCCAGCCCGCGCTACCCTCACCAGCACAGGTTGTTTCTTGACTGCTTAGTGATGACAGTTCAACTTGGGGGGATGGAATCTCTGAGGAGTTTTATTTGCTTTTCTCTGATGGCTAATATTTGAACACTTACACTTCTTTTTGAGAACTATATGGTTTCTTAAATGAAATATAATGCCAATATCACAGGTTTGAGAGTTTATGGTGATGAAGAAATTTAAAAATACTTTAGAATTTCAGTTGAAAAGGAAATATAGCTATCCATAGAAGGGATTAAGCTTGATAATAGATAGTTTTACAGTAAAGGTCATGCCTTTCTTTGAGCACCTCTTCATACTATTTAAGTTAGTCTGATCCATCACGTTTACACATGGTTCTTTTGTCCAGGTTAATTACTGTAAAAGACAACATCCACACTGAACTCATCAGGAAAGTGAGCAAAGCCTTTTCTTTGCCTGTGTTTTGACCCTTCCAGAATAAGTCAAATACTATTTGTATCTAAGAAAACAAAATACTAGCTATCTGATGGTTTTCCTCAAATGTTCATTCTCTTCCATTCTGAGAGGAAGCGAAAGGAGCTGGCCACAGCCGAGCCCTGTGCTGTTGAAGATAGGGCTGCATTGCACAGAGAATGTGCTGTGTGGTGTTTATGGCAGAAATAATTCCTCTGAGTTTTTTAGAGAAAATTTGTGGCTACTTCACTTACACTTGAAAGTAGAAAGCAAGCGTTTTCCTGGTCATTCCATTTGCTGTTTGGAGATGCATCTTAAAATAGCCATCCCTGTGAGGTTAGATTATGCTCCATGACAAGTAACAGTGTTGGACTAGACTCTCTTGGCCCTAAACTGTGCCTCTATTTTAAGAGATGACCCTAAGAACTGACAGAGTATACTGTACCCTCTTAACCCCGAGTGCCAGTTCTGTATTTTCAGGGCTAGAAGGATCACCTAGAAACATCTATGGAATTAAGGCCTGTTAGGAATTCTTATACCTATCTATATGAGTTGCCTGTTTCCTTGTAATTTCATTAAAATACATACTAATGTATATGCGTGCTTGTGGAGAGATATGTGTAGACATAGAAATCATGTTTTTTCGTGTACTTTGAGCATAGAACAAAAAAAATCCAAAGGGTTATTAGATGATTAGTATAATAAAATTAATTGCCTTTGCTCATATTATCTGTGATTATACCAGTTTGCTATTCTCTTCTTGTTTTACCCCTTTAATAGCCAGTGTCCTTGGTTGCTGTCTTTTGCTGCTTGATGCCTCTCAAACACATATGCTTTGTGGTTATTTCTTATATTCTCATTAAGAACATGCATAGTTAAGACCTGAGTCCTTTTGTTTTTATTAAGTTCCTGCTGTATAACCAGTGCCAAACTCAAGACTCGCTGTTTCTGCATCCTGCTGGGATTACAGACATCCTGTCCAATTAAAGTCAAATTATGAGACAGTAGAGGTATACACCTTTGCCTTCTAGAAAGCTTATATTCTAGTGTATAGGAATAATCTATGATAGCAGATACCAAAATCGAAACGAATGACGAATGGTAGTGATTCTGAATTAAGAGCAGGGCAAAGCCACTGCGTTCCAGAGTGGAAATAAAGGTTATGTGAAACTTGAACTGATTCTCCGAGGGAGGCCCTAATGAGCATGAGTCTAGAAGGAAGGGATTGTAAGTCGAAGGGACAGCAGTACAAAGGACAAGGAAGTAGCTGTGTGTTTTGGCAGGACAGTCAGAGAATGAAGATGGCAGTGTGGATAGAAGTCCAGATTTCAAATGACAATAAGGGTGGGTGATAAATCACAGAGGAGATGGTGATTGTGTTTGGGTTTGAGGGGTAAGAGAAGGTAAATGCATTCAGAAAGTGGTTTATCATCTAGCACATCTAAGAGAAACCAGTATCTGGGAGATATATATATATATATATATATCAGATATATAGTACTGATATATAGATATCAGTACAAAGAAATCAAACCTTGTAGCCTATAGCATGTTAAGAATTATTTCTCTCTCTCTCTCTCTCTCTCTCACACACACACACACACACACACACTTGCACACACAATTAAGTGTAAATTTTGTTTTGTTTTTTGAGACAAGATTTCTCTGTGTAACAGCCCTGGCTGTCTTGGAACTCACTTTGTATAGCAGGTTGGCCTCAAACTCACAGAGATCCATCTGCTTCTGCCTCCTGAGTGCTGGGATTAAAGGCATGTGCCAGCACGCCTGGATTGAATGTAAAAATTTTAAGAAATGGCATTTAGAAAAAAAAGAGCAAGCTTGAATTCTGGTGTTTGTAATCCTAAAGAGTAGCCCAGTATCCCACTGAAACTGCTTGGTTTACATTGGAGATTGGCTGTGAGAAAATCAGCATTCTGGATTTAGAAGGCATCTTCATAGAGATGGATTGAAATGGTGGT